TGCGCAGAAGTCAAACTTATTGTATATTCTTTTTATATTTTCATAATGACTGTAAAACGTTACCAAATAAAAGTATAGGAACCGTAAGACCGCATTAAAAGTAGATTTCTCAATTTGTCCAAATTTAATTTCTTTTTAAATTTGACATTTCCAAAACATGAATATTTTCATCATTTAAAAGACTTCTGTGATTAGACATATATATGACCATACTTGACTAAAAAGTATACGACTTGGAAGACTTGGAAGTATACGGCCAACCATTGCGAAAATAAAACTTAGGTAAGGGTGTGGGTGTATATAAAATTTGTAGTGCTGATTGTAATACGAAAACGAGTTGCGCAACTAGATGTTATAATAGTCACACATATAACATTTCAACGTTGTTCTAATAGTTTTTGAGTTATGCGAGGTATATCCGTACGCATGGTCAGACATCGCAAAAGAATCCATTTGAAAACCATTTTACAATCCATTTTGAAATAAAGTGTCCTTTAATTTGTGTCTACCTACGGATGTCACGCAAAAAATAGTCAAAATGTACTCGGGAACGGTTAAAATGGATATTTCCTTGAAATCCGATAATTGAAATTTTTGCGCTTACTTACTTCCTTTAGATACATGGAAGTAAAAGGGGGATAATTCAATACTACAGTTATACCTTAAAAATCACAGTTAATGATCTCTAAGCTTATAGTCAATTACGTTTACCGTAGTCGAAGTGCACGTTTTAAAAATCTCATTGAACCAGAAGTTTTAAGTGTCTCATTCTCTGGCTTCTTAATAACCGAAGCTTATATTCAGTTGCCTATTTAAAATAGCTTTTTAAATTGGCTTTTTAAAAGAGATAGATGACATACACAGAAAGCTGCAAAATATAAATGATGTTAAATAAAATTTCCAAAATTTAAAGCATGCTTAAAAATTATTAAAACTTTCCACTAAAATGCCTTTCATTTTCTGCATAATAATCGGCGAAAAATAACAATTTTTAACCGATTACTATCCATACACTCTTACGTCAGAAATATTTCCTGTACCTTAAAGATTTAAAAATTTATTGCGATGTATTAGTGTATTTATCTTTTTTTATCTATATTTTCCAAGCATATATCATTTTCTAAACATTACCTATAGAATCAGTGCCACAAATAAAAAGAGTAACTTTCTATTTACGTTCGAACGGTCTTTATTCTTTTACTTACACTCGGTTGATCACACCTGGTGTTGAAGTGACAGGAAATGAGAACCTTGTTTTTGCAATTTTTTTATGTGTGCTTCTCTCGAGCCCTTTTTTTTATTCTTAATGCTTTTCAGTAAATGAAAAAAACGTTCTTCGTTGCTTTTATCTGGTTGACAATGTTTAACGAGTTAAAAAGTGAATTTTTAAAAAAAAAATGTATTTAGAATGAACTTTGTTCCGAAAGTATGCAGCAACAAAAGTGATCTCAGTTTTAAAGGGTATGGACATTTTTTTTTTAAAGCCAGAGCTGCTGCAACGTGATAATGAATATTCGCCTTTTTACCTGTTATCGAGGGAAATACGTTTTCCCACTTTAGATACCTTAAAGATTGTAATACTTAATCACATAAAAACAAAACTCTAACATTGTTTCTATCTCCCTTTGAAATTACTAATACCCCCACATCTCACCGGATATAACGTAAAAGAAAGCAATAATAATAATTTTCTAAATCTCAGCTGATGCAGATATTTAAAAGCTAGCAGTAAAAATAACATAATGCATAAAACTACTGCAATTCAGTTATTTTAATAAATAACTGTTAGCATTTACTAAAATATAAAAAAAAACTATTAATAATTTATCTACCAACCACATAAAGCTGTTTAATTCTACAAATGTGATAATATCTACCGAGAAAATATAACGCAAAATAATATTCCTAGGTAAGTTTTAAACATAGTTGCTCAAAATGTAATTGCAATTGCAATTACACTACGATAGCGTCACTGCTATGGATGTTTCCATTCCGTCATTCATGATGAGCTGAAATTCTGCAAGGAAGAGTACGCAAACGCTTGGCATTTGAAGTGAAGTAAAGACGGTGAATGCGTCCTTAGAACATCCTGATTGGTATAAGGATGATAAAGAAGTATTTATACTCTGTAGATCAGAGCTTCGAAACAAAATTAGTCCTGACAGGAACGAAGTTCCGGGATGAGGATGAAGTTCCGGGATGAGGATGAAGTTTAGTTGGCTAAGCATTCGTCAAATTGAATTTATTTTGCACTATTTCGATGCACTTATTCGCAGATGGCGTAAATGTATTGAAAAAAATATAAGAATTATATTAAATTTTGATATCGTAATTATTTCTGTATCTTTAATAATTAAAAACAAAAGGCATTTGTTTTCTATTGAGCACAGTAAATGACATATACCATCAAAGATTATGTTGTATGTGTGGAGGTGAAACGTAGTAATAGCTAACGCACTACTTCATATTGATAAATACATAAAACATCAAGCAAAAGAACCATTTATTACCTTTTATTGTTTATTGAGTACAGCCTCAACTTTTTCTGTTTTGGGAAACGCGTATAGACCTAAGTGCTTAATTGCATAAAAATTTCCTAACTGTTATTATCAAAAGTCACTATCTATAGTTCAATAAAAATTTTAAGCTTAAAAATAAATGTAACTTTTAGGCATTATAAAAATTACTTATTTATTTCAGCAATTTCTTAATTTCAGATAATATGCATGTTCTTAATTAGATAAGCTTGATAACGAAATATTTCACATCATGGCAAGTAGAATCAGATAAATGAATTTGAAATTCATAACCGCTGGTGCTGGCGCTCTTCTTAGAACGACTCTTATCCACTCGAGGAAGTTTGGCTTGATGTAACGTGGTTTCCTCGAGTATTCTTAAGCGGGGTAGCAGATATAATAACTGCATGGTTGAATTAAGTAAATGAACCCTTGCTTATACCATGTGAATTCTACAGTCTATTTAAATAAAATAATTTGGAGCTTCAATTTCGTGTTCGACTAGAACTGAAACATTTGTGATTACGTCTCACGAAGAAATTCCTAGTTGCATATGGATATAACTGTTTGAAATAGACTTCGGGTTATAATTAACCAAGCTTTTGAAAATAGGTTCTGAAGATGTTCAGAAAATGGATAAATTCGACATGAGTAATGTAAACCGAAAATCTAAATCTTCTAGAATATAAACTGCAGTATTAAAATAATCCAGTATTAAAATATTTAAAAAAATTGAGGATTGTGAAAGCAGATTTGATGAAACTGTTGAAGAGCTTCAAAGGCAAAAGTTAAGATTTAAGCACTTTTTGCAATCTAATCAAATTAAAACATTTGAACAAGCTTAGGTTCAGACTGAGACATGGGAATTTTTTAACTGTTTGATTAATAACATTGGGTGAAAAGCCCCTGTAAACAGCTATTGCTTTTAAATAATTTAGTTCTTTATCAAGGGATAGTTTGGAGGATAACTAAACAAAAGCTAGCTTTATTTTATTCCTATGTTTTCCGTGCTCTTCAACTTTGCTCCTCCAAACTCTCCCTTGATAAAGAAATAAATTATTTAAAAGCAATAGCTGTTGACAGGGGCTTTTCATCCAAAATTATTAATCACGCAGTTAAAAAATTCTCATCTTAACACACTAAAAGACACACTCTTGTTTTAGGAGATTATAAAAATTCTGTTGTCATTCCCTTCTTTCCATCAGTTAGCTATAAAGTTGCACATATTTTGCAGAAATTTAACTTTCGGGTCGTTTATTCTCCCATCAATAACATTCCGAGTTCCATACTCAAGGACCCCATTCCGGATATGAATTCCTGGGGTACTTATAAGATTCCTTGCCAGTGCGGTTTAATTTACATTGGCCAAACTAAGAGAGCCTTAAAATTTTGCGTCAAGGAACATGAGGCATATGTTAGAAAAAAGGAAACACAGAAGTTTTCTGTTGCTCAACATTGTTGGTCCGAAAATCACACTTTCAATTTTTCTGCTGCAGAATTATTCAAAAAACATCTTCCATTGGAGAACTGGATTTTCTAGAGGCATTTCACATTCAATTTTTTTTTTCTGTTCTAGTTAACAATCCTAATTCCAATTCAACTTTGCCTCTGGCCTTTAAAGAAATTATGTTTTAGTTCTGGTTTCCTCAACAGATGGCCACCACTTGCTTATTCTTGTCCAAGCTTTCTTATCTTACCTAATCATTATATCCTATCTCGTTCATTTGCGGTTTTGCAGCTGAGGATAGTGGTTCGGTAAAACTATCGAAACTAGTCCTGTGAAAATTTGAAAATATAACGCTGATTTTTGTTGTTTGACTTCTGAATTAGTAATTTAATTCTGTTTTCAGGGTATAATCTCGAAGGAGCAAATTTATTTTTTCTTATTGTTCTTAAATTCTGAAGCCAGACGTAAGAATTGTTTGGAATGGAGGAAGGTACTATAATTATATAATAATAGTTAATACTTTAAATTTTAGTTGCAACTATCGTAGGATGAGATAACATATTGTGTTCAAACTATTGTTATTGATTTTAAAGTATATACAACTTTAATTAAAGTGATTGCTCTTTCTAAATTATTATACGAATTAAAAGACTAATATAGAGGCATTTGTGCTTAAGAAATTGATTATTTGCATAGTTTAACCTTTTTTTGTTAAATTTTAATTCACGATTCTGTATTACAATATTTATCCATGCGGTATCCTTTGCATAAAAAAATAGGCTTGGTACCTGTGAAATTAAAAATAATTTCCTTCAAAATTACACGTTTATTTTTTTTATTATTTTCTATTTTTTATTTTTTATTATTTCTATTTTTTATTTTTTTTTTTTTATTTATTTTTTTTATTTTTATTTTTTATTTATTTATTTATTTATTTTTTTTTGAATGACGCAGAAACGGATTTCCGCTTGATCTATTAAATAACAAAAAGGAAAAAATTAGAAGACTTAGAATAAGCTTTGGATTTTCTTATTTACCATCAATGACGATAAGCTGTTCAGGAAAGATTCCCTGTATAGGCAAATCGTTCTGGTCCCTGATTCTGAAGGAGGCGTCGTCTTTGCCTAGATGAGCAGCTATCACGTCTTGTGCGTCACTTTTTCTTAAGCAGCGAGCATCCCTGCAGCTAGACCGTTGGAGAAAGAGACCCTTGTTATGGGCTGTGACCTCTTCAAACGTCCTGTTGAATACCATAGTGGGACCCACTAGCCATGCTGAACGGAAAAGTCCTTGTGCTTTCGGAGATGTCATCAGTGCCATAATACTTGCAGCTCCTGCATCAGGACCAAACAGCGTGACCTGGGGCAAAGTTTTTAGGTGATTAAAATTTTACATCAGTTTCATCAATAGTTCATGCAAGCATCTATCTATACAAACAAATATATATATATATATATATATATATATTACAAAAGTATTTTGTTTCAGTATTATTTTATAAAAATATATTGCTACTCTAAGAGAGGAAATTTAATTCCAAAGCGCAAAAATCACGTTTTATTTTGTAATATTATTATTTTTTTCTTCACTGAAGTACAATTAAGCGTAAACTGATTAATTTGATAAAATATTTTTAATTTCAGTTTCATTTCTATTATTTGTAGATATTTATGTTCATGTTTATTGAATTTCTTCCCATACACATATTCATCCATCCCGTTGTTTTTCAATTTCTTGAATAATTTGCATTGCGAAATTTAATCTTATCTACTATTATTTGTTTAGTATTTTTTTCCCTTGCTTATGTAATAATATTTATAAATGCAAATTTAGTTTTCTACACGTCTGGTTTTACATGTCCATATGCTTCATTGCTATGTAGTAGCAATGATGTTTCCATTCATTAAGATTTGATTGATTTCTCCTTTTACATTGAATGATTTCTCCTTTTACATTTTACTGCTACGGTAATGATTCTGTTAAAAAAGAAAATAATTCTTATATTTATTTACATATAATACTGTTACATGCTGCAGTTTTTCCCACTGCACCGTGTAACTTCTGTTTAAGCTGGAACTTCGCAAAATTCATGTGTACCATATTCTCGTCCTATTTTGCGACGTGAATTTATTTCAATGTATCACAAGAATGAATGATCTGAGATCTGATGCGGCATCAAGTTTTGTTTCAAACTAGGGCACAGCGCGATCATAACTTTTGCGAAAATTAAACAGGCTGATGAAAACTCTGCTTTGACGACAGAACAGTTTTTCAGGTGATTTTTCAGGTGAACTGCTACGGCTGAGATAGTAAAGAGATAAATGTGCGAACAAAATTTCAGGCGTTGTACGAGGTTCCAATAGAATAACGTTGCTGAAGATCGAATGGATTTGTGGTTTAAAAGGAAATAAAAATGCTCTTAGAAGAAAGACTTAACAATTATATTGATGTTAGCACGGTACAAATAACCCTTTGTTGTTCAGTATTACACTGCATGGGACAAATAAATTGAATCGCTTCTGAAACCGTTAAATTCAATCGTAAATGGACAAAAATGTCTTTATTATATACTTCAAACTTCTCTTTTTAAATAGTCGATGGCATCATATCACAAGGAGACCGAGGATTTTCATTTATGATTTGTTATTAAAATCCACTTATTTTCTAGTAATTTTCTATATTTTTTGTGACGCAAAAAAAATGTTTGAAAAACAAAATCCGTATAATTTTGATGGTTGTACTCTATATTATTTGTTATATATTTTTTTACATTTTTCATAAAAAAAAGCATGCGCAGAATCATTGAATAAAACGGGCTGTTCCACTAGCGGCAACACTGCGCCTTTAGCGATCTCATGCTATTACGCATCAGAACATCTGTCTTAGGAAAAAAACATCTGTTGTATATGTTTTCTGTTTACGTTGTTTTGGGGGAATGAATTCAAATAAAGCAGTCTTGAGGGGTGAGGTGTGGTTTGTGCTATGAAAATTTTAATGTGGGCATCTTGAAATTTTTGTGAGTAGTTTTCAGGCGGGAATTTTATCAGTAGCTTGAGTGATCTTTACTTAGGGAAGCTGCGCGAATTATTTTGCTACCGCTTTTTAGTCTCATTCCCGTTTATTTACAATAATTGTGTAGATATTTTTGTTTATGTATATCTTATAGCTTATGTTTCTTTATTGTTAATATTAACTGCAGTTAATTTTTTATTATTAATGTTCCGTAAATGGCAGGAAAACTCTTTCTGAAAAGGAAGGAGTTTCTTTTTCTCTTTTTTCTTTCTTTTTATTTGGATTTCTAAACATATTGTTGCACGGAACAGAAGCCGCACAAAACAAGTTTTTTAGTCAAAACCTGCAAAGTTGGTTTATGCTTCTAACAAAAAGATGTGACATGCTTTTAAAATTTCACGAAGCTTTGAAATCGAAAAATTTGTAAATATTTTTGTATATAGGACTTGTGTATATACACATATTTATCTCATTTATCCATATATATTCAAGAAAGTTGTGTATATCCAGAAAACCATGTATACAGCTATAATACAGTATTTTTTCATTACTATACAAAAGTTACTACTCATTTCCGTTTTCACTGCAATGCTCGCTTACTCGCACTTTTAAGAGCTCTGGTGGCGCAGTGTTCCACCTCATGGAACACTCACAAAATTGAAACGGTAAGTTCAATTTTGACAAAATTTTATCTGTATACTCCTTTAGACCTAGATACACTGCATACAACTGTTCTTGTTGAAATACTGAATTAAAGTGTAGTGCACCACAAAGGGATAATACAAGTATTATGTGATCATGAAGACGCTGAATACTAATTGAATATATTAGTAAAAATATATTAGTTAGTATAAAATAAACTCAACAGAGATAAATCGCATCAGTAGAGGCCAAAGCCTATTTCACTCAAACATCTGAAACGCTCGGATATATGAATTTTTGTTGGAATCGATTTCCTCCCCCCCCCATGACAAATAGAATGTTACAGCACTAACAATAACCTACTTAAGTCAAGCAACAACTTCTTTCTCGGACGCTTTCACCACTGTGAGCAGTTTCCTCTTCGAACAGAATTGCAATTTCGGGCATCAATAGCTAAACTTTAACAGTAAAGGAAGTAAGAAGAAGGTGCATTAAAATAACGAAACTACTTTTAGTGGCTTCAAAAGAATGATTGGTATGTCATTTAACAACTCACGAAAGCAATGAGCGAAAAAATCATCACTAACGTGATGGGGAAAGCACTAGGTAGAAATTTATTCAGGCGTTCGGGGGCTACCTGCCGATGTCTGAACGATCGGGCGTTTTGGGCGACTTTGTTGCGATAAGATTACAAAAATAATAATAGAATAAAAATAATAATAGTTAAATAGGTTACAAAAGAGTAATCCATTTTAAAAAGCTGCAATTAGAGAACTGAATCGAAGTACAAATTTCAAAAATGCAGTTCCTCCAGCGCCCCAGTGGAAAAGCTACTAAACACAAATAATTCACCATGAGTTTAGACCCCCAACGAACGTGAAAATTGGATAGGAATTTCCGTTTATTTCTCCATACAAGCAAGTTTCCCTCAAAAATTCTCGTTTAATAAAATTTTTTCCCGGTTACCCCACTTTCGGAGCTCTTTATTCGAATATTAAAGATTTAACAAATTTTTCAATTTTATTCGAATGCATTCCAAATTAATTTTTAATTTTTTGTTTTTTGTTTTTGTTTATATGTGTGTATGTTTGTCTTATATAAAGTCAGAATTTTACAGCATTTTCCTTAAAAACCCAGTAAGACAGGAATTGCGGCTTAAACCCCCCCCTCTCCTCACGTCAATGGTTTTTATTATTTGACGAAACATCTGTGCATTCACTTTTAGTTTGTGTTACCTGATTCACTTTCAGAGCCAAACTCATTGAGGTAAATGAGTCAAAAATTTCTTCTACTTTTTGGCCATCTACGATTTCTTTTGAACTTTTATAGCCTTATATAAACTTAAACATCAGATATTTTCAATTTAATATAATATATAAAGAAATTTTCTCCTTCCGAAATGCGCGCCTTTCTGCTGTAATTGGAATCAGGGCCGCCTGACAGTCGGGAAATACAGTGGAATCTCGAGCTACGAGCCCCTCGATAAACGAGAAATACGAGATACGTGGAAAGTATGAGCGAAAAATTTGTCTCTAAATACGAGCATTGGCTCGAGTAACGAGCAATGAGCTAGGCTGTTGTTATGCGTGGTGGCATTTCCCGATACGACTCGACTCGGGGAATACCCTCGTCAGATCACTCATTGTTTTTTTTTTTTTTTTTTTTTTTTTTTTTAAATCTACGGGTTTGTGCGCTTGTGAATTAATTATTTTTTTTACATTTAATGTCAAAATAATTATTTTGCGATACCTCCCAAGAAGATTGTTGCCTCAGATAGTGCTGCAAAGAAAAACAAGAAAGCCATGGCCGTTGAAATTAAGAAAGAAATCATAGATAACAAACGTGGTGTAAGAGTGACGGGCTTGGGCAAAGACTTACGGCCTTTCGACATCGATGTTTTCCACTACCCTGAAGAAGCAGGAAGAAATTAAAAAACTTGATGTAGCGAAAGAAATCACCGCTACTTCCAAGCACCGTCCAAAACTCCGAGAAGCAGGTAAAATGTCTGTGTCTGAAACTATCATAAAGATGAACTACGGTTATATTATTTATTAGAAAAAAATGATTTTTATGTTGATATTTTGGGGAAGCAGAACGGATTAACTGGATTTCCATTATTTTCAATGGAGAAATTTGTTTCTAGATACGAGAAATTCGCTATACGACCTCATTGCTGGAACGAATTAAACTCGTATCTCGAGGTTCCACTGCATAGAGTTCGATTGTGCACGGAAACGTGAAGAATAAACATTGCTCACGGAGAGGGTAATTTTTCACGTCTCTTGGTTTCAGTAGAATTCAAATGCATCTATAAGTGGTGCCCGAACTAAAATGTAGTGTACTATAATTCATCACCATCTGGATTTGATGACTGTGTACGCTTCTTCCAAAACTGCCCTTCATCTGGGAAAAAATGTAAGGAATTTTTCTTTCATGGGGAGGGCATTGCTGATTTTTATCTGCTTTCTGCTCCGATAAAATCTAATGACTTTACAAACATCCTCCTACCTGAAGTATCGTAATTTAAAATATTTGTGTGCATAATCTTGGTGTAACTTCCAGGTTACATTGTATATATTTATATTATTAAATAAAGGTACTGTTTAGCATTAAAATTATAATCCAATGTCTTTCTAATTTTTAGATGTGAACAATCAAGTTAAAAGCAAATTATTCAGCTTGCAGAAACACAAATATTTACAGAA